TGAGGAGAGGAGGTGCCGGTCCCGGGACCAGGCCGGGGGCTCCCCGTCTGTGCTGCCCCCCGGCCCCCGGTCCCCGGTCCACACTCTCCCAGGGCCCCGATGGAGGGGGTGGAGGGGTGTGGAGCTCCTGTCAGCCCAGCTCTGCTCCTGACTGGCTGTGAGCCCTGCCAGCCGCCCCCTCCATGCCTGGTCTGTCCTTTCTCCGGGGTCTGGCCCCGCCCAGGCCACCTTGCCCAGGGCCCGGGGGCCACAGAAGCACCTCACTGTGTCCGCACCTGGGGCAGGGGCTGAGGGTGGGAAAGCAAAGTGGGAGGAGGAAGGGGCCGGTGGCCAGGCTGGGAATGGGGAGCCGGCCCTGGGCCCGGCAGGCTGATAAGCCCGCTGCCACCCAGGCAGCCCAGCTCCGGTGCCTCCTGCTGGAGCGATGCCAGCTCCCTGCTGCCCTCCCCTGGCCCCCTCAATCCCTGCCCACCACTGGCCCGGATTCAGCCCACGAACCTGAGTGTCCCCTCTCGGCGAGATTCCCCCAGGACGGTGCGAGGACCTGGGCTGGTGTCGCGGGCGGGCGGGCGGCTCTGGGAGAATCCAGGCGGCGGCAGCTGGTCTCAATCTCCCCGCCTCTTGGATGGAGACACTCGATGGAACAGCCGAGCTGGAGCACGAAGTGAAGCGGCCCAGAAGAGGGCTGGCCTTGCTGCCGCAGGTATCCCAGCCCTTCCGGGCCTCGCCCCCTCCCCCCGGCTCCCCCACAGGCAGGGACACTCGGGAGGGGGCTGTGACTCAGGGCCCAGTGGGCAGAGTGACTGCCGGACGCTCAGCCCACGTTCCAGGCGGAGGAGGCGGCAGGTGGGCCTCCCTCGGGCCAGTCCTGCCCGGCCCAGTGTGGAGGCAGCCGGCCACGCCACCTCCCACCCGCCGGCGGTGTGGTCCTCTCGAGGCCGGTCCCTCATCTTGGGAACCGGGTACACCAGGCCCCCCCTCGTCCCACTGGGTGGAGCGAGGATGACATCAGGTTTGGACAGCGCCTGCCATGTGGGGGGCACAGGGCTCGGCCGGGTCAGGAGGGCCTCCGCCCAGGGATCCCCGGGTGACGGTGGCAGGAGCCCAGACCTCTGGGAGGAGGCAGCGGCAGGGCTGAAGCCGTTCTCGGGGCCAGGCGCTGTCCGATGGCCTCGGGCGCCTTCAGTTCTCTGGGCTGGAAGGAGGTGTGGGCCTACTATCACCCCCGTTCTGGGGACGGGTGGACCGAGACGGGGAGAGGTGAGGCCATGTGTCCAAGGTCAGAGTCTAGAACTGGAGGGGCTGGGATGTGAGCTACGCTGCCTGGCGTCAGCCTGCCATGCCTAACCCGGTGTGATTGCCTCTCTCCCAGCCGACCCGGCCCAGGAGTCACCGGATTCCTGAGCAGGCCACTTCCCTGGAGGCCACTTCCCGTGGTCAGGAGGCCACCGCAAGGGCCTCCTGTGGCCGGGAGCAGACCTCCGGGTGCGGCCCCTGGAGAGACACCAGTCAGGCCCTTCCCGGGCCTCAGTTTCCTTGTATGCAGAATGGGTGGGAGGAGGATGGCGAGGACGCGGGCTCTGCCCTCTTCCAGGATCGAAAGGGAATAACGAAGAATGGGCTTGGGAGCACGTCCCTCAGGGGCTGAGCGTCACGGTTCGATTCCCAGTCAGGGCACAGGCCCAGGTTTCAAGCTCAATCCCCAGTCGGGGGCGTGCAGGAGGCAGCCGATCCATAATTCTCTCTCATCATTGATGTTTCTATCTCTCTTTCTCTCTGAAATCAATACAAATAAATTTAAAAAATAAAATCAATTAAAAATATTTAAAAGATGTTTTTTCCAGATATTGAATTCAAGATCTATATATATTTTTAATTATTACTGAGGGAAAGACAGAAACATCGATGTGAGAGAAACACATTGATTGATTGCCTCCTGCCCTCAGGGCCCGGGCCAGGGAGGATCCTGCAACCGAGGTACGTGCCCTTGACTGGAATTGAACCTGGGACACTTCGGTCCACAAGCTGACACTGTATCCACTGAGCCACACCGGCCAGGACTGGATATTTATTAATCAATAATTTAAAGATGTTGCTTCACTTCCTTCGCGCTTGCATGATTCTCAGCGAGACATGCCATCCTTGTCTTAGCTTCTTTGATGATAACCTTTCTTTTTTTCTCTTCACCGCTGGTTTTGAGCGATGCCTCAGTATCGTTTTCTTCATGCTTTTTCTCCTTGGAGTTCGTTTAGCTTCTTGGATCTGTGGGTTTATACTTTTCATCGAATTTGGGAAGTTTTGGGCCCGTATTTCTTCAAATAACTTTTCTGCCCCCCTCATTGCCTCTCTTGAGGGGACTCCAGCTACCCATACACGAGGCCCTTGAAGTTGCCCCATAGCCTTTCCTTTCCGGATTCTTTTTTTCTTGTTTCATTTTAGTTTCTATAGCCAAGCCTTCAAGTTCACTCGCCTCTTCTGCGCTGTCTCCTCTGCTGTGAACCCAGCTATAGAAGTTCATGGGAAGGTTTTTCTTCTCTCTTCTTCCTCCTCCACCTCCTCCTTTCTCTTTAAATCTTCCATCTCACTACCTAACTTTTTGAATTTATAAACAGTTACAATGTTTTGATGTCCTTTTCTGCTAATTCTGACATCTGCGCCAGTTTTAAATGTTTTCATTACTCTCATCCTGGGCTGTGCTCCTTGCCTGCTTGGTCATCTCTGATTGGATGCCAGACATTGTGGATTTTACCTTGAGGGCGCCAGCTCCTTTTATATCCTCACAAATCTTTTTGAGTGTTGCTCCAGGATACGGCCTATTGGCCTGGAAATACTTTGACTCTTTCAAGTCTTATTTTTATGAATTGTTAGGCACGTCCAGAGCAGTCCTCAGTTGAGGGCTAATTATACCTCACTGATGAGGCAAGACTTTCCTGAAAACTGGTACAGGGTGTCCCATGCAAATACTGCCTTTATAATTACTCAACGTGTGTGAATACATTTTTGGGACACGCTATATTAATATTTTTTTACATTTAACTATTATTTTTTTAATACACACCTGAGGATATTTTTCTATTGATTTTTAGAGAATGGAAGAGAGAGGGAAAGATTGACGTGAGAGAAACATCGATTGGTTGGCTCCTGCATGAGCCACCGACCAGGGCCTGGGCCGGGGCCGAGTCTGCAACCCAGAATCGAACCCAGGATCCTTCGGTCTGCAGGCCGGCATTCTACCCACTGAGCCAAACCAGCTAGGGCATACATGTAATGTTTATTTGTATGAAGTTTTGACATCTTGGGGCCTAGCTAAACCTGGAGAGACTGCCTCTCCCAGAGTTGGTTAATTCCTGAGAGATAGTAAACCACGTGCCCGTGAGTAGGACACTCATGTGCACATTAACGAATCAGTCTGCCCCCCACCCTCCTGTGACTCTCACACCGCATGCCTCTATTTTCCCTGCCCTCAAGCCACCTGGGCCAGGCGCAGGGAACCGGGGACACCCCAACAGCCAGAGCCCTCTGCATGCACTCAAAATACCCGATTCTACATTTGCTCAGAACTCCCACCCTGCCTCACCCCTTCCTTCTGTGGAAACCACAGCACTAACTCCGGGCCATGCTCTCCCCTCACCCCCGTCTCCTGCCACACCCTGTGTATCCCAGGAGGCCCGCGTGGAATGGTCTGCTCCCTCCTCTTGGGAACTACAAGTATGCACTGCTTGTCGGGAGTTGTCTCTGTCTGTCGCCTCACCACAGCTGATTAACAAGAAGTCCTCGGTACGGGTTAGAAGAGAAACTACCTCTACCCAATCTCCGGTCTGGCTGGGAGGAGGGGCCATTCCAGCTCAGCTTGCTGCCAGGCACCGTCCTAACCCTTTCCACGGCTCGCGCCCAAGCCTCGGTTAGTGTCCGTGGATGAAGAATGGGGTCCCAAGGAAAGTCATCTAACAAGGTGACCTGATCCCAAGTTCCTAACTGGGCAGGTCACTATGCGTAGCCACACTCCAGGGCCATGACTTCTTCAAACGATTTTTAAAAAATATATTTTTATCGATTCCAGAGAGGAAGGGAGAGGGAGAACATCAACGATGAGAGAGAATTCTGGATCGGCTGCCTCCTGCATGCCCCCTACAGGGGACCCAGCCGCAACCCAGGCCTGTGCCCTTGATAGGAATTGAACCAGGACCTCCTGGTTCATAGGTCAACAATCAACCAGAGCCACGCCAGCCAGGCTAAAAAATTCCACATTTTTTACTGGGAACATTTAATTAGAAACAAAACTCGAGAACCCCCTTCACTTTCAGGACATCCGTAGGGAGACAACTAAGGTTTGCCGTGTAGAGCCGTGCATGGCTGGCACTCCCGCCCGCTTTCCAGGGTGAACCCTGCCCGAAGCCCGCTTTTCAGATTCTGGGTGCAACTCACTGCTAAGTGTAATGGGTGCTAGCTTACAGTCAAGTGTAACTTATGCAGTAGTTTCTCACACACACACACACACACACACACTCGAGCCCAGGGCCCCATACACGGACTCAGGATCACCCAGCTGGTAGCAGGGTTAGTGCTTAGAATGCAGATTCCCGAGCCCCCTCTAGTCCAACTAACCACCATTCCTAGGGTGGGGCCTTGGAATTTTTTTTTGAATCCACTATTTTTAAAATCTTTGTTGAAAGTATTACATAGATCCTCCCCCCCACCCCCCAAAACCACTTCTAGCCGGCTCCCGTCCCACCCTCCAGGCCCTCACCACCCGCTGCCTGTGTCCATGGGTAATGCCTAGATGCAGACAAGTTCACTGGGGGATCTCCTCCCGCCCCCTCCCCTGCCTTCCCTGAGGTTCCAGTCTGCTCTGCTGTCTCTGGGGGAATCTTCATTTCCAACAGGACGCCCAGCTGGTGATGGAAACCACTGCTCCCACTTGCCACACTCACACCCAGGCTTCACGGCCAAATAACCCGTCTGCACAAGGCGACCAGCACAGAAGCCACGCAGCCGACGCGGGGGCTGGGGCGTCACTTCTACCCAAGAGAACTCAGGGAGAAAGACTCTACAGAGAAACTCAAGGGACAAGTTTTTCTGACCAGAAACAATACGTTCATTCTTGGTCAAATCTAAAACAACTCCACGTGGGGAGTAAGTTCATCGGAGATGCCCCACCCAGGAACCCCTCCCCTGGAGCGGTGCCGCTTCACGGAGCCACCAGGCAGGTCGTCACGAGTGGGAGGAGCTGGAGCAAGACGCAGCGGCTGCTCTGGTGGTGTCTGAAGCCTTACTTGACATGCCTGTGTACCTGCCCGACCTCACCAAGGCTGGCTCCTTAAGAGGGTGTTGGTGGTTCTTTAATTTAAGAGAGGAGAGAGAAAACACGATTTGCTGGTTCACACATTTATGCATTCACTGGTTCTTTGTGTTTTCTTCCCAATTATTTTGAGAGAAAGGGAGAAACGTTGATGTCAGAGTGCAACGTTGGTCAGCCGCCTCCTGCACGGCCCCCCACGCGATGAGGCCTGCAACCCGGGCATGCGCCGACCGGGAATGGAACTGGCACCTTTTGGTGTACAGGATGCTCCACCAAACGAGCCACACCGGCCAGGGCTACTGGCTGATTCTTGCATGTGCCCCGACCAGGGGCCGAACCGCCACCTGGATGTATCAAGACAACACGCTAACCCAGTGGTCGCCAGGCTGTCAGACCTCACGGTGCACTGGTTGGCATCGCTGCTCTAACCACCCGAGCGACCGGCCAGGGCTGCCCCTTCGGGCGCTGTATTACAGGAATTATAAAGAGGCTGTTACCTCTTGGCAGTGTCCTGAGGGTGAAGCGAGACTTGAGAAAACCCGTCTGAAGCCAGCGGAACAGATGCGCTGGACTGGCTCCCTCTTCCATCACCTGAACACTGAGTGCAGCGGGCGATGTGCCACGGGCCAATCACGACCGGCAGCAGGGGCTCTGCTGTCGCTCATCCTTGACTGAGCCCCTGGCAAGACCTTTCAGCCTGACTCCTGCCAAAGCTTTCCCCATTTCCGTGTCGGTCAGTTTTTTGCTTTGCCTGCCCTACCCTCTACCTTTGTGACACCGAAAGCTGTGGTTGTGCCAATCAATGGGGAGATGCTCTGATAAACGCCCAAGAATCCGTCCCCACAAACCTGCTTACAAAGCCAGGAGGGGAGCCATAGATGGTCACTACGGTTCTTTGAATTACCTTTTAATATTAGACGACTCCCGCCAAATGCGAAGTCACCAGGGTTTCCAGGCTCAGAGGTCAGAGGACTGGACTGTATCAAGGGCCAGGACCACCCATATGGTGTTTTTCAAGCTGAATTGATGACGTTTCCATAAAGGTGACCTGAACACAGCACCACGCAACGCCCATGTCTGCAGATAAAACGAGAGCCTGTGCGCTCGCTGAGGGCTTAGCCAGCCAACTGGCCTGGGACAGCACTTTCAACTTTTATCAAGAACTGTGCTGCTTCAAAGTCCTGGCCGGGTCCCAGGAGACCTTCCAGGGTGTCGGAGTTTAACCTGCTGCCAAAGCAAACAGAACGCCAAACTCCAAAATGAACACACAATCCGCATTTTCACAAAAAGAAAAAACAGCCACCATCTTTATTTAGTTGAATATTTCTCCTGATCTAAAAAGAAAGATGTCAAGAGAACAGCGAGGACCATACACAGAGCACACACGCCAGCGAACCCAGAGGACCTGCAGGGACAAGGGCACAGCTCCGAGCAGCGGACACTTATCTTCGCTTCTGGAAGATGTTCCCGCGCCCCATTCCACGTCCTCTTCCTCTCGCGGCCACTAGAAGGGGGGGGGGAGAGGACCAGTCCGGTCAGCATGGCAGCGAGTGCTCGTGCCCAGGGAGGGCTTGAAAGGCCACCTGGCCCCACACCACGCTCGCTCCCATCGCCTTTCACGAAGGAAAATGGGAACCAGAGGACAAGCATTGACACGGAGCGTCCGAGCGGCAGCCGGCACCGCTCTCCCCAAGAGGCTGACGGGCAGAGCCCCGAGAGCAAAGGTCCTGTGGGGAGCAAGTCTGAGAACCACGGAAAGACGAATGCCCAGAGCTGGCCTAGTGCAGGCTCATGAAACAGGGCAGATGCATTTAGTTCACACATAAAATGTGGGAACAACAACAGTTAAATGTTAACATCTGTTAAATCTGGGTGAGGGGTTTCATTGTCCTTCGAGCGATTCTGCTTGTACAAAAGGTCTTCCAATAGCGACACAAAAAGAAAACAAACTCACAGAAAACACAACCATACAAGGGGTACAGGAGCCTGTTGCTCTGTGACTACGGGTCTCGGGGAGCCAGGGGCTCCAAGGGACGGGGAAAATATTCTCATGTCTACAAACTGGAACCGCACTCTCTCCGCCTAGAGCAGTGGTTCTCAACCTTGGCTGCCATTAGAATCACCTGGGAATCTTTTTAAAACCCTGATCTCTGGGCTTCATCCTCCAGAAATTCTGTTTCTTTGTTACTAATGTTGTGGCCCTACCCCATAACAAAGAAACAGAATTTCTGGAGGAGGAGGCCCAGAAATCAGGATTTTAAAAAGATTCCCGGGTGATTCTAATGTGCAGCCAAGGTTGAGAACCACTGGCTTAGAGCCTGGAGCTGCCCTGACGGGGGAGGGAAGCCACCTGAGAACCAGCCACATGCTGACAGCACCAGGGCAAGGGCTCGGAAAGGCACAGGTGGCTCCGGCGGAAGCCAGCGGACCTGGGCGGCTCACTGCCACCTGCCTCCTGGTGCAGAGCCACTGGCCCCGCCTTTGGCTGGAGATGGTGCAGTCACAGTGACAATGAGCGTGCGCTCCCGGGAGAGCAGGGGAGCCGCAGTCCCAGCGGAAGCTGGC